CACACACACACACACACACACACACACACACACACACACACACACACACACACACACACACACACACACACACACATGTTTTTTTATTTTTTTTGATAAAATAAAAGTTAAAATAAAAAATAAAAATTAAAAATTAAAAATTAAAAATTAAAAGTTAAATTAAAAATAAAATAAAAATAAAATAAAAATAAAAATAAAAAGTAAAAAATAATAAATAATAAATAAAGAATTAAAAATCAAAAAATCTTTTTAGTAAAATTCATAATAAACTATTAATAGTTTAATAAATTAATATAAATTAAAAAAACAATTAGCCATAATACCCAAAAATATAATATTACTAAAAGGACTACCAGCAGCAAAGTAGCAAATTACACCTTCGCAGTTCGATAAGACTAAAAGGAGAACATATAATGCCCCCGCTAATTTTTTTCTATATATATAAAAAACAACCGGAAATGTCGTACTACCAGCCATATGCAAATACCCGTATAATCCACTGCCCATGTCAAAACCCTCAATCCAACCAATATGCACACCCCCACCAGAAATCCGTAACCCCTACTAACCATTTAGAATTACACAAGCTACCTTCTTCACCACATCAACCACAATTCGCATTAAAAGTTATGGGTATGCTTGCCCTTATACGAAACCAAGGCTTTTTCACACGCGAAACTTAGGTACCGATTCGCGTGTTTTCAAACATTTTAAAACATTACGGAAAACCCCCCCAGGAAATTTTAGCAGAAAAGACAAAAGTTTGCATCACTCCGAAACGACGCTGACAAGGTACTAAAAACAAAATCCCACGCCTACAAGACAAAACGTAACACGACGACAGGCACTTCCCCCCATAGCCAGTACCTCCCACCAACAACGAAAAAGACACGCAAAACGCACGCTCATGCACGACAAGACAATGTGATACGACAAGAACTACCCTGCCAAGCTCTGCTCCCACGCGGAACAGACCAAGTCCTATGCCCAGAAACTGCAAACAGACCCCTTAGCATGGACAACAAATGTTACCACAGACCCACTTGACAAACTACACCTACACAACTACTGTTGCAGATATTGCTTCACAAAAAAGATTGCACCCCGAGCAATTGCTGCATGGAACCCTTCACATACCTTGCACCCTCCTACGCACACACATGGCACTATCACTCACATACCCACAGCATACCCTTGGGAAAATATCACCCTTACCTTGGTTCGCTCTACTATACAAACATCCCCCGCACATCCACTCTCCCCTACATGAYGCTGCATGCGACATGCATCGCTGCTACATATGYTATTGCATAGATATTCGCTCTACCMRATTGCAAACGACGRCGSTTACACTACGTCTCCTTTCCCAAGTAACRAGAGTYCCCCCAATTGCTYTYGCCGTAACRCTACTGTTYGGCTGAGAGCAAAGCGGGTACCTGGCTTCTGCCGGTCACAGCGTAGCACATTGCACGTTGTACGTCCACCGTGAGATTGCTGATACCTCGCTGTGAGAGCCACAACTCCTACCATGGCGACTGCTAACAATCCGGCGGTACCGGCTATGACGACACAGGTATGACTTCCTAACTCCATATCACCCTAAAAAACGCCCACCATCTTCTTCCCCCCTCTCTCCCTCCCCTATCCGTTTCCTAACAGGAGCATTTGATTACTAAGCTAACCCTCAGCTGCTATGGGTGCTAGGCGGCGAAATGCGCGCTTAAGGGCGTGCACCCCGCCTACGGTTGGGCTTTTTTGTCCTCTCCTAATCCCTAACATACTAACACTATCATACTAATTTTTGCTCCTATGACCCCTAACCTAAACTGCCTGCGTAACGTACGTCATCCATGGCTAGAAATAAGCCATATACTAATGGATATTCTTGGGTACTGTCCTGTTTCCCACATTACGTGGGATGGCTGTGTTACGTACACACCCCCCCCCCCCCACACACACACACATACACCAACCCCAACCGGACCCCTTTTTTTCTTTATTTGTTTTTAATTTTTGCATCTTAATTTTTTTTATACACCCAATTTCCCGGCACAAACCCAAAAACCACTTCTAAAAAAATACAGGACAACTCAGCGACCATGTCCCTCATGATAAAAAATTACCAAAAAAAATTCCTGCTTTTTTTTTTTTTAACAATTTGATTTTTTTTATTTTTTTTTAAATCTTAAATGAAGTCAGATTCCAGAATAAAAAATATAGGATTGTAGGGTTTTCCAAGCCCTACAACCCTATATTTTATTGTATTTTATTTTACGTATTTTTTTTGTTGGGGGGGGGGRGGGGAAATAATTAAAAAAACAGGCCGCGAGTGTCACATAGCCTGTGCGACCTATCCTACCCGATCTCCCCGTATCCAATCCCCACAGATTTGGGTTATGTGCAAGCCGACCTCCTTGGGGTTATGTAATAGATCTAGCATCTATTTCGTGTTTTGCCACTGTCTTGTCAGGTCCAACTGTACGTGGTTCTTGAACTATTCCACTGTCTCTGAGTAATCCCCTTGCACCCGAACCCCCTCCATTACCAGGGCACAACACGACCACTATAATATGCAGAGGATTGTCCGCGTTCTAGGCTGTAATTGGAGACCTCATGATTTGCCAATATTCTTTTGAAGTCCCTCTTTTTGAATTGTTGGGTGATGCCCAGCCAGGATCGCTCTTCACGCCCACGACCATAGAAGGCCCTGGACCACATGCCGCCAAATCCTCTCCAACCCACCCTCATATAAGGATCGTGGTCGGGCATTGCTGAAAAATGTGCTCCATCGTTTTTGCCAGCCTCCGTGTTGGGAAGCCCTCTAAGCAACATTGTCATGACAACAGAGCACTCCCCTGCTGCTACAGGTAGTGTCATCAATCAACCAACTACTTAGGATCTCAACTCCTTTAGTCACCCTGTCCCTAATCCTAGACCCGACCATACCACTGAAGATTTAGTATGCACGATGTTATTAGGGGTTGTTATTTTCGATGAAATTTTTACTGAAACTGTGATATTGATGTGATTTTGTGTTTTTTTTGTTTTTTGTTTTTATTTATATGGCATTGTATGTGTGTTAGGGTACATCATGTAGTCAGTTTTATCATACTTGGATCAACAATGAAAAATATGGCATTTTGTTTTTGTGACGATGCGAGGAAAACGACAAATTCTTGGCTCTTCGTTAACTGCATGTCCTACCATCCAAACCCCTCCCCGCCACTCCCCTCCCTCCCCTCCCCYCCCCTCCCAGCAATCAGAGCAGATTTGTTGAATTGGTTTGTGATGTTTTTCTTCCGAGTGATAAATTGTAGTTTTGCCTGTGTTTTTGTTTTTCATTGGGTCATCAACTCTGTGTGAATAAATTGGTGTATTGCTTTTATTACCTCCAGCCCAACCACCTTTACTCCCTCCACAACATGCACACATCATTTCCACCACAGTCCCCAAAGGATCACGGTTCTCGGCATAGGAGGAAGGATGGGGCGGGTGCACCATGGCCAGGTCTTCCCTTTGTTCAACTACCGCTGAACCTTGTTTCACTAGCTCCATAATCTTTCATACGGGGAAGCCTTCCTGGCATGATTTGCACGAGGACAGCACACGACCCTTCTGTTTCAGTTGGGTGTGGAGGGTTGTCATGCGGGGATCCCCGGGGCCCAAGCCAGGGTAGGGGTCTCACCCCCGGACCCCCGCCCCCGCCAAAACACCCGCGCCCCTGC